CCATTTTATAGAATAAGCTTCATATTGCCCTACAAATTAAACAAAATCGGGAAAATTAGTATTAAAATCAAGTAACGGGCTTCGGGCTGGAGCATTTACTGTAGGTCCTCTGTGAGCTCGACGACGATGACAGATGACGTCATATTCTGAAGACGGTGAGGGCAGTGAAGGAGGGCCTGCGTCTACTTATAGAGGGACATTTAGGGAATATTTTGCTGAGGAACTTCCGTCAACGACGGCAATCTCTGCGAAGAAAAAAACGCCGAAGTGCGACATAGGCAAAATGTCTTTTTTGCCCCTCTCTATATATAGTAAGATTGGCTGTGACATCACTTTGTTTCTGTAGACCGTATAACTATCTTATCACCATTGTGATCCGCCGTAAAACATTGTGGTGCACTCGAAAAAGGAATTGATCAATGTCGTGCACTTTATCAGTTGTTACTTCAATAAACTAAGTCGTTTTTCTTCCATGCAACAAATAGACACTATATACACACAAGTATTCATTTACTTATTGGTACAGACGTCTTTATTTGTTCAGTCAAAAGTTCGATGATGCTGAAATATGGCTATCTTTCCCAATCATACGGGAACTCTGGTTGTCCGCAGTTTTGTAGAGCCCTCCTCATAAGCTGAAATGTACAGCGTTCATCAAAATTATCAGAAGATCAGCGATCTGTGTGAAATACAAAACTTGAAATGAGTACACAATAGAGACTCACTGAGTAAATTTGCTGGTAATTGGGCTGGTCATAGTATTTGTAGGAGTCTACGAGTTGAAGTATATCAATGAATTCTTTAGGACATGGTGGGGCAAAAAGTTCATAGAGTCCTGGTGGTTGACGACATCTCTTTTTATACTCACCGACCTAAACAAGTAGATTTCAATCCTCCTGATAATTCCATTATTTAAATGAGGAAAAGACCTGATTCATATCTTGCACTTCTCTCCATGGAACTCTTCCAACTGTAAGTTCCACTTGTTGGTATACCCATGTTTCAACATCGTCTTTTCGACATAATTCCCTTTGCATATGACACGAAATAGGAGCGTAACGGACCGTGCCCCGAAATCCAGCTGCTGCACGGGGCTTCCTGATTATTCCCTAAAGAAGGTGAAGGGCTTGAGACGTTGTAGGGCCATCCGCACTACTTCTCACTCTTGTGCGGCCTCATAGAAGATTCCACGATAGGGATGAAGGTCGAAGAAAGCGGAACTTTTTATGCGACCGGACACGCACTTTGCTTAGAAGGATTTGCCCTTGCAATTCAGCATGCTCTCCCGTGGTGCAACTGGCGCTCTATTGACGCGATACACCCCCTCTCGTTTTCTCGTGTATGAGCCTCTAGCCGTTTAGCAGAGAGCGCTAGCGTTGAGAGGCAGCATAGATGACAGTAGCATCAAAGTAACTGGCAAGGAAGGGGTCCCATTTTTCTGACCTAAGGCCGATTTTCTCGGTCTTTTCTTACCTTCATGCAGCAATGAGCCCTCGGACCTAATTTCAGTTGGAAAAAATAGCAAAAGTACACAAAAACACTTAAATCTCCCGTGAAGCCAGTCGTGGTATATTGGAGAGGTACAACGCGACGAGGAGAGGGAAAACACGAGAGATAGCAGCATAACAGCACACAAGGCAAGGCCTCAGGCCGTTGTCCTGCATATTCGCGCCGCGACAATGTCGCGACTCCTTTTTTCTGCTCTGGGAGAGGGGGGACTGGCTCTTAGGACTTAATCTCAACCCGTGGCTCTAACCTCAGCGCTCAGTCATCTACAGGAGTGAGTACTTTGTTGCACTCGGCCGGATCGACTTGTTGCCCTCTCATTGTGACCATTTCCACTACTTCATTCCCATCTCCTTTTACATAACGGATATCGACTACTACTGCTCAACTGCTGCACCCATATCGACTTCTGTGCGTCTTATCGTGAGAAGAGTAAACGCAGCTCCTATTATCACTCAGTCTCTGAGCCAAACAAATGTTCAGGTTGCGAAAATGTTAACAGACTTTGGTCATTTGTATATTTTCTGCACAATGCCGAAGTCGAGGATGTAAACTTTGCGTAACTCCTGCAGTTCTGGTCGTCCTATAGTATAATTGCCAGGTTTCACATCACGATGAAGATATCCGATGCCATGCAGATCTGAATTGTTGTATCTGTATATTCGTTCTGAAGAACCACAAAACAATTGAGTCAAAGTTAAGGAATTAAGGATGTTAGAACGAATCAAGATGGAAAAATCGATTGCCGTTGTAGACCCAGCCGTGGCGACAGTAGAGTAGCGCGTTTGTTTTCAGTGTAGAACATCCGGTATCCGAATAGGCTTGCATCCCACCACGCCTGTACATGCTCGCCTGGCCGCCCAAGATTTTATGAAAAAATGTTCTGTTTGAAAAACTGCTCGAATATCACTTTCCTTCTCTCCTTTCCCTAGATGCCCCATAGAAAATCACATGATATCCTTCAAAAATATCGTCCTTTGTTTTCTTTGGTTAACTTGATTCCTCGCCAAAACTAGCCGAGCAAGATTTTGAACAAGGAAATGGGAATAGCTAAACAGAGCACGTAACAATTGTGTACGAGGGTTGGCGTTTAGTTTCCCAGCTTTCCATCGATTTCGGTTCACTGGCCGGTAGGACGTGCATTTCGTAACCTATCCGTCGGGAGCACTTGAAATGCGAAAAAGTTTCTCCTAAGCAAGACGACGTCCGATCGCTTGTTTCGGAGCGCTCAAAGCTGTCAAACGCGAATGGAGAGAGCTGCATATTTTGTAGAGAGCCACACATGTTTTATTTTGAGCTATTTATTTAGCATATTTTATGTTTTTGCTAAAGGCCGATGCGGTCATTACAGTTGGATTGCGTGTTAAAGACCCTTCTCAGTGAAGAATTCAATGAGTACACAATTTGAAACGATGAGCTTCGAGTTGCCGGAGCTGAATCAGCCGATCGTTTGGGCACAAGCGTTAGACCGATAGTGAATGAAAGGTAGATCAAAATTCCTTTGTAACAAAATTTTGAGCATCCTAAAAAAACGACACACATGAAAAATGACACACATAATAACACAAATTAAGGTGTTGGAATAAATTTGCCCAGCAATTTTCCGCATTCTGAGTACTTGCCTGTAGTGTCACTTGGACAATACTACCAACGTAAAGAGAACCTTTTTTGTGCAGTTCGTTTTTAGAATTGAAGGTTCCTGATCCTATATAGAACTGACAGTGCTCCCAACCAGCTACGTGTATCTAGGTCGGGAAATCAATATGGTGAACGACCTAGCTCCAGAGCTGAGCAGGAGGAAGCGAGTGGCATGGGGAGCAGTCAAGAACATCGAGGGAGTAGTGAAGAAGACGAAGAACATCCGGCTCCGTGCCCACCTCTTCGATTCCGCTGTCCTTCCTGCCCTAACCTACGCCTCAGAGACTTGGACTCTGCGCAGGCAGGACGAGCATGCGGTCAGCGTTATCCAACGCGCTGTCGAGAGGACGATGCTAGGAGTAACCCTATACACGCAAGTGCAGAGGGGAATCCGGAGTTGCCGAACTACGCCAACGATCGAAGATCAGGGACGCTGCCGTTTTCGCCAAGGAATCGAAGATAAGGTGGGCCGGACACGTCATGCGATTTTGCGATGACCGTTGGACCAGAGCGGTTACCGACTGGATCCCTCGGGACGTCAAACGAACACCTGGACGACCGCCGGCCCGATGGTCAGACTTCTTCACGAAAGCTCTGAACGAAAGGAATGATGGACTTCGTGTCCCTCGAGCAAGGAGGATCCACTGGACCACCCTAGCACGCGACAGGGACGAATGGGAGACGTTGCTGGCGCCGGTCTAGCAAATCGACGATCAACGGGACAGACAGGTGATACAGGTGAATCTAGACTGACGCCGTCTCGTGTGTTTCACATGAGCTCCCACTTCTCGCCCTCCCCAGGTGTCTCAAAGAGCGACATTTTGAGGGTATACTTCGTCTGGGCTTCACACGCATCCGTTGAGCAACCTCGTCCAATTTATTTGTACACAGCTTGTAAGCTTTCAAGGGGCACGAATCACGGTGCTCTAGATGTACTGAAGGTCTGCTCATTCCCGCGGGTACCGGAGTACGGGCTTCTCTTCAAGAATCTCTTGGATACATTCAGTATTTACGAGCAGTGCGTGTGCTGGACGTGGTTCCTCTTCAAAGCAGAAGACGCCGCGGCGTGTTCCCAAAAACACATTTGACAGTTTATCTCGTCCAACGTTTCAACCGCACAAATTCTCGGATTGGCAATTCTCGCTGAGTGCCTCAGGCGCAAGTCGTGACATCGACAGAGACAAAATGAGTTGGAAGCCGGCATTGTTTCTCATAAAAACAGTACTGAAGGTCTAGTTTCGTTATCTGGAATGATACTACACACCACCACATCACACACATGTTTGCTGAGATAAACACACGCACGAATGTTTAGGGACATATGGTACGAGTATTAAGAAATCGGCACTCACTATGACAAACTAGTAGAGCGAAATCATTTGTTTGATTTGCGATTAAACAACAGTATTCTATCGGAAGGCTTTTTTTTACGTTTTTAACATCATCTTAGTTCATTTTTTTTTCAAGATTTCGTTTGAAGGGATGGGATCAGAAGAGTAATCATAATGATGTGATAAGTAAGAGAAACCCTCTAATGACTCACCTTCAAGAGCCTCCAAGCACTGTATACCTACAGAAATCGAACAAGCCAGGCTGAGACACTGAGGATTACGCGCCTTTCGCAAGTCCTGCAGTGACTTCCCCACAAGAGTCATGACTACATAGTTGAAGTTCCCGTATCTTCCTTTGTCTTCTATTCTGCAGAAGTGGCGACCACCCCGAGCCATCAGTTCCGTGAGTACAAATACTTCCATTTTCAACACCTAAATCGTGGTACAAAGAAAAGTCTTTAAGAGCTGTGAGTCGGAAATAAGGAAAAAAACGGAGCAGAGCAAGTTTACAGTCTACATGATGCGTCACAATGTGGTAATAAAGTAATTATAGCATAGAAACTGACATTTCAATTTCAATGAAAAGTTACGGAACTTTAAGCCACGAAACTGAGCAGATATTTTTATTACGTGCTGCCAACGGGCCACGGATCTCTTTCACTGAGGGTCCTCTCTCACTGAAAGATCTCGAGCCGGTTGGTGGCGAGGCTACGTGGCGCGACCCCAGGTGGCGGATAGGGGGTAAATCGCGGACCAAAAGCCACCATGTACTTGCCCTGAGACGCAGGTGGATTCAGGGGATGGACTCCCTGTTTCTGTAGTGCTGTGTTGATTCATACCAGCTGTCTCCACTCAGGCGCATCCATGCATGCTTGCGTGTGTGGTGCGCTCTGTGTGTGTGCGGTTGGTATCCTGCATGTCGGCACAGCCAAAAGCTTGCATTCAAGTGACTGGGAAGTACATGGGAGGCGATTCGGGGCCGCCTCCAAAAACTAAGCCCCTTGTTCCGCTCCAGGATAGC